GTGGCCCTTCGCCGGCTCGTAGACACGGACCAGCGCCTGGGGAGAGGTGTCTGCACCCATTCCCCCCAGCGCATAGACAGCCCCATCTGCAAAAGAGGTAGCAGTGAGGCTATCGGGAGTGTGGGCCACGCGTGAGGCTGAGAATGTCCCCGTGCCCTCAGGGCAGGTAGCACAGGTGCTGCCGAGACCCATGGCCAGCCGCTGCTCTGGGGTGAGTGCGGCCAGGCCTGAGTGCGGCAATGCCCCAGCCCTGCTGGGACCCCCTCACCCCCATCTCTGCCCCATCCATCAGGCGCAGAGCGGAGCACAAGGCCATCAGCTCTAATTATTCTCGGCAGTACCATCTCCCTGGAGACACCATGGCAACACAGCCATGCTGCCAAATCCTGTTCTTGCTCCTGGCGGGGCCGGCACCCCTGCCCGCTCCCACCGCTGCCCTACCGGCCCCTCTGCCCTGCCCACCCCACTGCAGCCCAGGGCCAGGCCACGGTGTCCCCAGCCAGGGAACAGACATGGGCACCACATATGGCACCAACCCCAGCCCCCAGCCTGTGGGCTACCCAGCTGTGCCAAGGCTCAGAGGCTGCTCAGCGGCTCAGCAAGTGGTATGGGTCTCACCAGCTGCAGTGCTGGGGTGGGAGGGCAGCACAGAGGCACCCTGGGGTGCACCAGGTCACCCCCTGGTCCAGGGAGGAAGCGGAGGGAGAGGGCACGGGCATGGGGGGATGCTTGGCCCCGGGCTGCACCAGGGCTGCTGGGGCAGGAGCATTACACTGCTGTTAAGTGGGAAGTTCAGCTGCTGAGTGAAAGCCTCATGCTTCATCCCAAGCAGCAGTGAGATGCAAATCCCACCCAAGCATCCCCGACTCCCGCATCCCTGCTTCTCTGGATGGTAGAGCTACCCGCAGCCAAGCCCCATCCCCAGCCCTCACCTCTCTGCACGGCTGAGATGCCCATGGAGGGCTGAGCCAGCGCCGCCTTCTTCTCCCACTTGCCCTCATCCACATGGTAGACCTCGACGGAGGCGAGGGGACTCTGCGCCGCATCCACGCCGCCCACCACTAGGATCTGCTTGCCCAGGGCAAGGGCAGCGGCGCCAGCCCGCGGG